GTTAGACTACCTGCTTCCCTGGCTGAAAGCATGTTTGCCGAATCTTAAAGGACAAACATACCCAGGTAAGATAAAGCTGTTTTCCTTTGAGAGCTTGCAGAGTAAATGTGGAGCTGCCCTTCCTATCAGACAGAACAGAAGAATGAACATAATCAGAAATTCCTCCATTGGCCCCGGGTAAATTGCAAAGGGGAAAAATGATGTGAAAAAGATGTGGTGTGTTTCCTAGAAAACATTATCAGCCCAGAGGAGGTTTGTCAGGTGATGATGTTTACCAGACTGTAGATTTATGTGAACTGGACCTGTGTTGTAAGGAACTATATTTTAAAGCCACAAATGTGTCCGGTGTCAGCTTCATACATGTGTGTATGGAGAACTTAAAGTAGAAGGTGCTGTCCACTCAGCATAGCCATGAACCAGAAGTGAATCACTAGTCCCAAGGTATATATATATGTATATAGGATATGTAACGGGCCATGAGAATTGTACAGAGCAATCTGTAACTTGGAAGGAGCATGGAGTGGTTTTCCATGGAGGGTGGGACTGTGTCTAATGAGGCTGTTTGAGGCCACACAGAAGGGAGCAGGGCAGCCTCTTTTTTGATTGCTTTATTAGCTGTGCATGGATCCTCTGGAACCTTCCAGTGGTGTTGCTGAGAGGAACATTTAAGCATTGGAATATAACACATGCGTGCTTCAGAGCTGCAGTATGTAGCTGGGGAAAACTGTTGGTTTGATAAGGAGGGAGGCTTTTCCCTGTTATAGCTTATGACAGCAAGTGGAAAATGCTTCAGTGAGGCAGGCTGGCATTTAAAATCAGAACACAGTAATAGCCAAACTGCTGAAGTCAACAGACTTTTTAGAAATATGGTTACCATTTGCTGAGAAAGCCTTTCAAAGTAGCCACAGACATGCATTTGCAACCACAGTCAGTTCATCTTTTCCCCTAAGTGTGGGACTGTGACCTCGATTGACACCAGTGAAAGCTGTGTACTTCCAGAGAAGGGAGATTTTTAGTTCATGCACAAATACAACACAAGAAGTAAATGTGTGAAGGAGCATCAAGGTACTAATATGGGCTTCCATATTAGTGACAGTGCTGTTCAGTATCTCCTGGGGGTGGCTTTAAATACGTTCCTTCATACAGGAAGAAAGGAAGAAAGAAGAAAGAAAGAAGGGAGGATGGGAGGGAAGGAGGAAAAAAGAAGAAAGAAAAGAAAAGAAAGGACAAGATAGGAAACAAAACAAAAAACCACTTGAAGAACTAACTGCAAGACTATGGATTGAAAAAGATAGGTAGGGGTGCAAAGAATCTTTGGATGATATTTAGTACTTTGGACAGTTATAAATGAGACACCATGTGACCTGAAGGGTAAATCTTCAAGGTAAAATATCAGCAGGTAGAAAAGTTCATCCCTTGTCTACAGAAGAAAAATGGCTGACTTTTGTCTAAGAACTCTGCCTCTCTGGGTTTTGTGGTCTACAGCTGTAAAACAAGAGATCTGGAATGAGTCTGCCCAAACAATTCTTTTAGTTTTAAAGTTCAGTGAAGTAAAGACTTAGCAAACAGAACTGTAGCACGTTTCAACAGAGATGTAGTCAGTGGTGGAAGTGTGTCAAGCTCTGGGTTTGATCCCTAGAACTGTGTCCATTAATGTTTGCACAGGGCTAGGGTAGCTCATTTATGAAGATAGAGACCCTTTGATGTCAGGAACAGGAGAGGATTATTGGCAAAGAAAATATTGGCAAGAGAAAAATACCAAAGGAATGAGGGTCTAAGAACAGTGAAGAGGGACTCTTATTGCTAGTTTCTGTCTTTTCCTTCCTGTGGCAAGAGAGATTTGGCTATGACTTTACTTCTTAGGAAGGTAGACACATCATGTGATACATTTATTCAGCTCCCTTTTGCTTTGAGGGAACAATCCTGGCCACAAAACAGTCTCTGCTCTTCCCGTCTTATGTCTTAAATGGAGGAAGTGGCCACCTCTTCTGGGAGCTCTGACTTATTTCAGCATTGGCCGATAGCCATGTGCGTACTTTTCCTTTGGAATTCATTTTCATTTTACTCCTTCAGTAAGCTACACTCCCAGTTTAGCTTTTACCAATAATGGTGCAGGTAGTTTAATATCCACTGTAATTCCCCATATGATCAGAAGTTTTGTACAAAAATCTCCAAAAGTTGGAGTTCAAAAGAGACTGGTCCCTTTATTAAGAAGAATATTGCCCCCTCTACATTAGGAAGTGGCATTAATTGCAAAGATCTGAAGGTTCTTTTCATTTCAAAGATTCATGATCATTTCGGCAGAGTAGGGGCTCAAGTAATCAGTGGAGAATGGGTCATCAAGTGTGGGACTGGAGAGGTTAGGAAGGAAGACTTAGCTTGGCCTCTATGGAGAAAGTACTGGTGAAGAAAACTAAAGGCTTGTCAGTCTAGTGACAAATGCACAACATGTAAAGAACTAGCATGAGGCAAACACTAGTTTGCCTCTTGGAGGCTGAAGTGGGATCCCAAGGCTAGACTGGGCAGCATAGAGACCCAACTTCTCAAAAAAGTCTGTGCCAAATAGCAGGCACTTGAGAAGCATCAGTGGTTGCCCATCAGGAACTATCTCCAGGAGCTGATGGTGACAGTTTTGATAGCTAGTCTGACAGGATAGAGCTCTAAGGTAGCTCTAAGAACGATGGGCAGCATCGTTCTTTGCTACCACGGACATGCTGAATTCTGAAAATGGCTCTGTAGGACATAATGTACACGTAAATTATACACATTTTCAAAAATAAATGCAAGAGTCTATTGAGGTCAGCTTTGTCTTTGTGCCAACAAATGCTAATTTCTTCAGTTGTGTTATTTTAGACATTGTTCTTTCTGTCTCTTTCCCTGCCTTCTTCTTTCTCCCTCCAAACCCCACCCCACCCTAACTGTATGTGTGTGTTTCCTAAGGTGTTTTTTGTTTGTTTGTTTGTTTGTTTGTTTTTAAGTATAAGCATACAATGGTGTTATGGTTTTTTTCTATGATCCCTGCACTAAGGAGACAGAGGCAGGAAAATTGCTGGGTGTTTGAGGCCATTGGAGTACACAGCAAGTTCTAGATTAGCTACAGTATGTATGAGACCCTACATCAAAAACAAAACAAAACAAAATCCCAGTCAACAAAATAGTATATATAGAGTGTATGAACCGCTCCAGACAGCAGCAGAAAGTACTTTTCACTGTGATTTCCCACTAGTAGGTGCAGTTGATATCAGAGTTTATTAGTCATAAATAGTAGTTCAGTGGAGATTGTATAGAAAGTAACTGACCCTCACTTACCTTTTTACACACTGCCTTGACTGGTACTAAGACAGATTCCAGATATTCTCCTGAAATCTCAAACTACTTTTTTTTTTTATCTTGATTTCTATCTTTTCCTGTTATACTTAAATTCATACCCAAGTCAAGCCTGGTGGCCCACACCTACAACCCCAGCATTCAGGGGGCAGAGGCAGGAGAATTAATGCAAATTTGAGGCTGCCCTATATGAAAGTGTTGTAAACTCCAAAATAAAGTCATTACCAAATATTTTGGTTAGTGAGAAGGAGGGATCCAGGAAGGATTTTTAAGGTACTTGAACTGAGGTTTGGAGTGAGGAGAGGATTTGACAAATGGGTATGAGAGGTAGGAGCCAATAGCAGCCCTCAAACTAAGGATATGCAGAAGGTGGGGGGAGCTCCAAAGGTATGAAGGTCTGTCTTGAGCAGACACTGCTGTTCTATAAGAGGCCATGTTCCTTAAGGTTAGGTGAGATCTTGATGAAGAAATCACCAGGGGCAAGATAGAAACTCAGTTGGGTTGTTTGCTGGAAGGTGCCATAATAAGGTCTAGTTAGGGGTAGATAATCTCAGAAAGAAAGTGAACAGCAAAGTACAAAGGGGGGGGCAGTGCTCAGTTTACTTAAAGTCAAACAAATAATGGTTCCGCGGTTGACAGAGACAGCTCTAAGGAGTTTTCCAATACAAAAGTTTACATGTTCTTTTCTGTCATCTTTTATTTCTTTCCCCTGATATTTTTTCTTCTTCTTCTTTCTTCCTTTCTTCCTTCCTTCCTTCCTTCCTTCCTTCCTTCCTTCCTTCCTTCCTTTCTTTATTTCTTTCTTTCTTTCTTTTTTTTTTTTTTTTTAAGAAAAGCAGTATATGCTAAGAGAAATCAGGTACATGTCAGAGGCTGAGGTGATTTGAATAATTTTTTCCTGTAGCTTTATTACTATTATAAAGAAATACATTTTGATTTGGATCTTTTCTGAAGAACTTCTATGTTGTATCACAACATCTGCTTCTACATTTTTAATCTATCTTTTCCTTTTATAGATATTTGCATACTTTATTCTTCCAAGTAAGACCTTTTGTTTGCCACAAGAAAGCTATTAGCCAGAATGTTAATGGGTTTTCAGCTATTAAGATGTAATATATACCTTGAGTATTTAACTATAAATTTGAAAAGTCTCCATGAACAATCTCAAAGGAATAGTTAGAATGCACTCCTGGTAAATTGGCTCATTTTCCTGTAATTTACTGGAAGTGCTGATAGGAGAACAGTCCTAATGTGAAAAGTGCATTAATCCCTGGAGTTATATTGTGTGGATTAAATTATTACTCTCAAAGAATACAATGTATGAGGGCATTTAGCCCTCCACATGTGTTACTTAGAATCACAGTAGAAAAACAATCACCTTCTGATGCACAAAATTAGAAGTGATACATTTAATATCTTTTAAAACAAGAGACAGTAATAGTTGTAGTTTTGCATAAGAATTGCTCTTTTCTGAAACTGTGTCCCTTAGTAGCTCAGAAGTCAGTAATGTAGCTTCTCTCCTGTCAGTCAGAAAGATGAGCCTTTCTCCTTCCCTGAGCATTTGCCACCTTGGGGATTGCCAGGTACAGTAGCCAACTAAATGATCTGCAACTGCAGGAACATTTAGGGTCTTATTTGAAATTTCCTCTAACCATACTTTTTTTTTTCACCAGGGAATTGAAAGTTGTGGAAATGTAACTTGTGACAGTGGGTGCTTCTTATTTGGTAAGCCAGCCAATTTTGATTCTGAAGCCTCAGCTAAGAGGCTGCCAACTGCAGACTGCACCATGGACATAAAGCTGGACCCTTCCCGGGATGATCTGCCTCTCATGGCCAACACTAGCCACATACTTGTGAAGCACTACATATTGGATTTGGATGTGGATTTTGGAAGTCGAGTCTTTGAGGGCACCATAGTGCTTTTCTTTGGAGATGGAAACCAATTTAAAAAACAGATGAGTTCCACCCAGGAAACCTTTCAGATGGAGTCAGAGGAAGCCTACACATTTAGGACAGCTGAACCCTGCCATGTTCCTGAGATGGATGCAAGTACTTTCTCACCTAAGATGGGGTATAGAGAATCTGCAGTCTGTGGTAAAGGTGATCAAGATGCCTTTGGTGGTGATGGTAACCATGACAACCAGGAACATGATTCTGAGATCTCTAGCTCAAAGTACCGCTGTGAAACAGGGAATCATGGGAAAGAGGATTTCTTGCTAGTGTTGGACTGCTGTGATTTATCTGTGATAAAGGTAGAGGAGGTAGATGTGGCTTCTGTGCCAGGCCTTGAGAGATTTACAAAGGCTTCCAAGCTCGCAGCTACTCCTGAGAAGCTCCGGCGTGAGATTGTCCGTGACCTTGTGGCCCTGCCTGCAGATGGTTGGAGGGAGCAGTTAGACTGTTACACTCGCTGCAGCAAGGCCCCTGGCTGTGGGGAGCTCCTCTTTGACACTGACAATTGGAGCATACAGATCAGGAAGATGGGGGTTCAGACAGCTGCAGATTTTCCTCGTGCCATCAGGATACAGTATAAAACTAAACCCGAGGGGCAGTCAGTGACTTGGACCTCTGACCAGAGTGGCAGGTAGGTTATCCAAGTGTATTCTGCCCCTAATCTCATGCATTTCAGGGATGCTCTCTAAGAAGAGACTGAGTCTGTGGAAATGATTCTACTTGTTCTGTAGCTTTACCCAGACAGACTCAGATTCAGACAGCAGGTAAATCCCCAAGCATGCTGAACTATTTTTAAGATGACCTCCTGTACCTTAGGATGGAGATGGTCCTTGATTCAGCTCCCACATTTCTGAGTTAGAAGTTTGAAATGCCAGCTTGGTGCTGAAATGCTGAGCCTGGTTGTTGGTTGGGATCACTGGTAGAGACTTCCAGAGCTGCTGATGGAAGTGAGCTATCAAAATACCCTCTGATGCCACTGCAGAGTGGGTGTGAAGGTTAGCCATGCTGTGTGACTTTCTTACTGTACCTGTCTCTCAGTAACTGTGTTTCCCTGGACTTGGCCAGTTGTCATTTGGTGTGAACTTCCAGTGCAAGAGACAGTTTCTCCTGAGGAGTAAAGCAGTCAGTCCTGTGGAGACTGCCCACTGGTTTCTTGGGATGTGGCTTGTGGTCTCTTGTACCAGGAAGATACCTGATTCTTAGAGTGAGGCGAGTCGGTGCCTGACACAGGCAGCCCTTGAGCTTAGTCTTTTTGACTCTTTTCAGTCATCCAGATGTTTTCGAATGAGAATTTCTAAATCAAACTTTGTTTGTTCTTCTCTAGTTTCCTGTTTCCTTAATGCAAGTCAGCATGGTGAATCCTTGAAGAGGTAGATGAGGAGCTGCTCATCTGTTAGCTTTTGTTGAAGGCACTCTCTTAGAACACTGGCCTCTTTGATGGAAGTGGTGGTCTCAGTCAATTGCTTGCATTTATTCCTCACTCTCCTCCCCAAATTCTTTTAGATTTACTTTTAAAAAGCCACTTTGACGTTGAGATCTAATTAGCCTGTCCGTTGCCTGTAATCTTTCCTCTTGCTCTGGTTTCTAGGCCACTCAGAGGGCCTTATTTCTGCCAGCATTTGAGGTATCCTTTGAGAAATTGCAGGGTTGGTACAGAGTTACATGAGCACAAAGGCAAAGTGATTATGTGTAGTGCACCTTTGAAGACCAGGAGGGATCAGGTGTTCTTATTGTAGCCTCAAAATGTTTGGAATTACTGAGGACTTTTATCAGTGTTAACCATTTAAGGCTATTGAATATTTGAGTAGTTTTTGTACTCCTAGATGCTTCACTTTTGATATAAAATTGTTGGAAGAAGGAACTGTTGACAGTTGGAGGTGATGTTAGTAGCTTCAAACATGTCCTTCTACCCCCAGGGCTAACTACAAAGATAGGCTTGAATCTACTTCATGTACAAGTCCTGGTTTCCCTGGAGAAAGGTCGACATAAGGATTTGCTTTTGCTGTCTCTGTTTGGCATGATTCAGTAAACACATGGTTGTGATAGAGCCTTTATGCCATATTTTAGTTTGTGTTATCCGTGGAGTCCTAAGAGGATAATATGTGTTGATTTTGAAGGGAACTCTCATAAAGCTGCTCTTTCTTTCACTTTCCTTTTGGGTGCATATGTGAGACTTTGGTTGAGTCAAGATATCCTTCTATCTATGGATAGCCACAAATCTCACTAAACTCTTCTATGTGCCTAAGAATAAGATGCTAGGTGTGGTGACTTCATGCCTGCAATCCCAGAGGCACACAGAGATAGAAACAGGAGAATTATCAAGAATTCAAGGCCAGACTGAGCTACAGAATGAGGCCCTGATTCAAATCAATTGCATAAATAGGCCCAAGTGTGTCCACCTGACTACCTAGAATCTAAGAACTTTTAGTTAGGTTTAGGGACAAAATATATTTCCTCAGTGATGTGGGCTTTAATAAAATGATGTGAACAACAGCATGGGATGGATTTCATTCTCCTTCCCAACAGGGCTGAGTAAAGTATCAGGCGTTTCTGAAGAGGCCATGGCACGGTTCATTGGTGGCTTGTCTTTATCTGCCTTCACACTGTAAAGAATAGTGCTGCAGTCACATTGTTGTCTGGTGATGAGTAAGTAAAGGAAGTCATAACCATTGTGGAGGGCAGACCTTCCCAGGAGAAAAAGTAAACGGTAACAAGACTGTGCAACAGCCTTCCTCAGGACTGAGAAAAGGTGTGGCCCTAGCTAACTTTGCTTTTGTTTTCCTTTTTACACATGTATGTGTTTGTGCTATGCATGCATGTTCACATGCATGTGCTCATGGACTTGCATGAATTCAGAGTTCAACAGGTGATATTGTGTGGTGTTTTTCTCAATCACTCTTTGCCTTATGTATTGTGACAGAATATTTTCCTTGAACCTGGACCTCACTGACTCATCTTATCCAGCCAGCTTGCCCTGGGGATCCCCTGGTCTGAATTTATGTGGGTTCTGGGGAGTCAGATTCAGTTCCTCAACGATGGGCAGTAGATGCTTTATCCTCTTAGCCATCTCCCTAGCCCCTGTTTTTTTCTTTTGCAGTACTAGGGACCTAATCTAGGGCCCTGAATATTCTGCCACAGTGTTCTGCCACTGAGCTACATTCCCATCTACCACTGAGTCCTTGAGACTATAGATAAAAGAAACTGTAGATAAAAGGACTGTGGTGAAGGAGATAACTGTGCTCTGGGAGGAGCAGGCCTACAGTTCCAATGCTGCTCTTTGTGCATGCTGGGATCGAGTGGCCAAGTGAACAGACTACAGGAGCTGCAAACCTGTTTTCCCCTGCTTATGTGGCAGGTTGCGGATGAGCCAGAGCCTACACTGGTGCATTCTGACTGGGAACCACACTATGAACAGTTAGCTTGGTAAGCCATGGCTGATTGCATACACATGTGTAGCTATGGATTTCTAGGAGCTAGTGAGCCACACAGAATGGTTCATTTTAGAGCATGCAGTATGAAGGAATGTGCCTGTCTTACAGCCAAGTACTCTGCAGACCCTCAGCAAGATGGTCAGAGGTGCTGTCAGCATAGGAAACTCATCAAGAGAATGCACCCTTGGGAAGAAGAAATGATAAAATGACATCTTTTTAGTCTTTCCCCAAAAAGTTTTCAGCTCTACTATAATCCTGATTTAAAAAATAAAATAAAATCTCAACAGAGGGGCATCAGCACAGTGCCTGAGCTATTTATCAAAGCTGTGGGGTCAGCACGGACACAGTCTAAGCAGCTGCCAGTTTAAGCTAAGTTGTAAAAACTGAAAGTGCTACAAGCAGGGCATGGAGGCACATACATGTAATTCCAACACTATAGAGGCTGAGGCAGGAGGCTCAAGGCTTAGGAGGATCACAGTTCTGATGCCTGAGTATGCTACATAGTGATGATACCTTGTCTCAAACAAAATGTAGTATGGTAACTTGTATGCACTGGCTCACATGTTTAGTCACTTCTAAAGAGCCTGAGGCAGGACTGTGAGTTGGAGAGCAACCTGGATTATTTAGCAAAACCCTATTTCAACAATGACAAAAGTATTTCCAATAGAAAAAAGACTATTCAGGGAATCTAAGTGGAGCCTGCCTTATGCTCACCAAGTGTGACAGATACTTCAGGTGACTAGAAGGGAAAGGACGTGTGGGTGCATGGGAACTTCTCTTTTAATGACTTGAAACCTAAACTGTTTAAAACTAAGTCGACTTAAAACACAGCTGCAAACTTCAGAAGAAGCCACCTGCCCTGGGCCCTGCAGCCCCCTCTTGTAAGACTGCCCTCCCACTTTCCTTAAGTGACTTTATTTTCTGAAGGTCAATAAAAACTACCTATTGTTCTTGGAAGTTGTTACTACCTTGTCCACTATTACTCTAGTTCTAAAGGAAAGTTACTGAAGGTAGATCACCCAGTTATCTGTTACACTTCAGGGTTGTGCCAATTCTTGAACCTAAATGTCCTTTCTTGCCTGAATCTAGAATACTGGAATACAGGTGACATTTCGGAGTGATTGATAGAGGGAATACTTACAAAGTAATCCAGTGGCACCCTTCTTACCCTGATGTTTTACTTTATGGGCTGTGTGTGCCCTTCAAAAAGAACAAGGACAGGCCAAGAATGTGTAAAGGTGGAGAAAAAGGAGAAACTTAGCATGGTTTTGATTTTAGGTCCTTAGGATACCTAAGAAACTATAAAAGTGTAAGTCTATTTGAAGAGTATGTGCTTTCTTCATTTTCCTTGCATTTTTTAAAGTTTTTCCATTCCACTAAAGGAAAAGTTATTTAAAACTAAGCCATTCTTTCTAGTAAGCCTCCCATTCCCCTGATGATCATGATGGTAACTGGGAAAACAGCCAACTGCTCCAGGAAGTCTGGCTTATTAGTTGATGATGTCACTGAATGAGAGTTGAGTGAAGAAGACATTGAATTCAATGCAGAAAATATAATTTAACACTATAATTTTGGAGAATAAATAACCTGGGAAAATAAATATTACACTTTAAACTTTCCTATAGCATTTGTGATGTTTCTTTGTTTTAGAAAAGATCAGGCTGAAGCCAGTAAGCACTAATTTTTCAGCTGTTGGACCAAGAAGGACGCACACTACTCGCATTTTTAGATTAACCTCAAAGCCAGATGTTAGACATCCATACTGCTTCCCCACCGAATAAACTTCATTGCTTTATAGCTCACTACAGAGGAAGGCTTTAAAAAGAATGAGTAGAAGAGCTCAGATTTCTGTTTATTTAAGTGTTTTTATTTAATATTCACATACATATGATGTGTTTGGATCTAACTTCCATTGCTGCCACCCTGCCATTTCCTTCCCTTTTCACCCTGCACCAATTTTCCTCCCAGTGTCATGTGTTCTCACTCCCTCCTCCTTCCTCTCCCCCTCTGTCCCTTCCCTCCCTTGCGCTCTTCCTCCTGCTGCCTCTCTCCCTTTCTCACTCTGCCTGTGTGTGGGGGTGTGAAGCCATCCATGGATAGCCTCTCGGGAGCTCCATCCATCATCTGCGGAAGTTACTGCTCCACCATCAGCTATCTGTTGCCAATGCCTCCTCAGGTAGAGGTGGGACTTCATGAACCC